TCCTCTCATTCTCGGTGTTTGATCTTTTTCCTTCTTTCGTTCTTTCTTTCCTCGTTCGCCTCGTTTTTCTTTTTCTTTTTCTTTTTCTTTTTCTTTTTTTTTTTTGTTAAACAGAGAGAGAGAGAAAATATTCACGGTACGAATTACATCGTCTTTTGAGGATTGATTAATTTTAAAAAATTTAGAAGCAAAAGCAAGAACCCCGTATTCACAGTGTTTAGTTACACAATAGTCCCTCTGACACATTAGTGTCGAAGGTTCGAGTTATTATTAAATTGGAAATGAGAAAATTAATTAAAGAGATAATTAGTAATAAAATAACGTAGCAGTGATAAGAAAAAACGGTGTCGATCTAATAATAGATGAAATAAAAACGAATTTATTGTCATCCGCTTTAGGTCAACCTGATTATATCGATTTGGCGGGAAAATTTAAAATTTTTTACGTAATTTCTTTCTTGTAGCTAATCACATGTGCATAGGGGTTTTTTTTTTATCTTATATCTCTCTATATCTATCTACTATTACTAGAACAGCGATAGATTCAAAATATTCGATCGAGAATCAGAAGATAAAAGAATCATTCGATCGTTTGTTCTCGTTCGATTATTGCTGAACGAAGAAAGAAGTTGTCGCCCTCGCTGCCAAAAAAAGGACGCGCATTTGATTGACGGAGAATCGAAGCGTTCGTACGAATTTTCAGTAGTAACAATAACATTTCCCCAACTCCTTCCTCCATATTTTCTTCTTTTTCTTCATCTTCTTCTTCTTCTTCTTCTTCTTCTTCTTCTTCTTTTTTTTTTGTCGTTTTTCTTTTATATGATCGTTGCAAAATAATTCTACCTTATAGCTTACGGTATCACAGAGTTACACGCGGTATCGTATAATTGCTCCCACTTCGTAATTTTGCAAAACGATAAGGAAAGCGCGTAATCGTCTCGTTAAAAATTGAAAATTGCGGCTAGAATGGACGCAGACGATGTCATCATACATTATACGCTTGAATTAAAAATACGAAAAAAAAAAAAGAAAAAAAGGAAAAAAAAAATACTTTTATCTTACGTTTAATTTAATACTGTCGAATTAAGACGAGTCCGATATTTTGCTTCGCAAAATTTCCCCCTCCCCGAAGAACAATATCACGAATCATACGAAATCATAAATTCTCTTTGGTCTTAAACTTTCTTTTTTCAATTTTTTTTTACTTTTCGCGTATTGAAAATATTTAAACCGAAAGAAAGGAAAAGAATCGATCGATTCTTCTTCTACTTGCACGATTGCACATAAGATGTCTCCCTCTATGATTTCACGTTCGATTTCCTCAACAGAGACGTTCGTACTGCGTCCAATTTGCGTCACTTTTTTTTTTTTGTTTTCGTTTTTTCTTTTTTTTCTTTTTCTTTTTTTCGTTTTTTCTTTTTCGTTTTCACTTTCCCCATTTCTCAAAAAATGATCGCTCGATTAATAATAACGTATATATAACGAATAACAAACTTGACCGCATATCTCGACGGAAGTAATATAATATACTATAAAAGAATTTAACAAACGCTTCGTAACGATTAATTGAAAAACAGCAAAATCCGGTACCTCAAACGCGGGACACGGGGAAAACGCTATCATACATTTCGATAAAAGCTGCGAGGATCGTTTGAAAAAAAAAAAAAAAAAAAAAAAAAAA